AAAAAAAAAAAAAAAGAAAAAAAAGAAAAAAAAAAAAAGAAAATGCCTCCATAAGATCAGGCCGCAGGCAAGCCTGTAGGGCATTTACTTAATTAGTGATTGAGGGTGGTTGGTTCCATCTCAGTGCTGTTGATCCTGGGTTCTATAAGAAAGCAGGCTGATCAAGCCAAGGGAAGCAAGCCAGTAAGCAGCACCCCTCCATGGCCTCTGCATCAGCTCCTGCCCCTAGGTTTCTGCCCTGATTGAGTTCCTGTCCTGACTTTCCTTCAATGATGAACAGTAATGTGGGAGTTTAAGCCAATGAAACCCTTTCCTATCCATCGCACTGGCCATGGGGTTTCATCACAATAATAATAACCCTCACTAGGACACCAGCTTGTAGATTTTTAACCTTATGATGCTGTGTGTCAGTGTGACGAGGAAATGTCTTCTACAGGCTCATGAATGGGGCTTTGATTGACAACTGATAGACTTTGGGGAAGTGACTGGAAAATTAGGACTCTGCCTTCAGGGATGCATTAGCTCAGTGTTGGATTTAAATCTGGAGTAGACTGTCAACCCAGGGTTGAACTGGCTTAAGGAACAAATTCATGGTGGGGGACAGTGTGTCCTGGGAGCTGTCACTACCCTGGCCCTTTCCTGAAACTGCTCTATGTTACCAGCTGCCATGGGCTGAGTAACTCATTGCCTGGTGGCCGGAACCTCCTGTCGGCTGAGTCAGGTGTTCTATCACTTCAGGAAGAAAGATGGCTAAGACCACGTGAAAGTTGTGGACATGTCTCCTCTGAGCCTTGGTCTTTTCTGAGCTAGAGGCATGAGGCGCAGCTGTCTTGTGATGCTGGGGTGTGGAGAGTCGCTGCTCCTGGTCAGCTGGGGCTGAGCCTTTCAGGCTCTGCAGCGTGCTCTGATGCCCACTGGGGTGTGGGAAGAAGGGCTTGGGAAGGCTGTGTCATGTGGAGCTTTGATACTTTCCACCCCAGGAATTGAGCATCCATGCTTGGAAGCAGCAGAACCACACCTTTGCCTGCTGTGTTCAGTCCAGTGTGGTTCAGCCAGGCCCTGTAGGACTTGTTCATACCAACTTGCGTCAACTGAGGGGCAGCCTGTGAGAGCTGCTTAACTTCCAATTGCTGGGCTGTAGCATAATAACAGCTCAAGTCCCTGCTGTGGTGCAGGTCAGACTTACTGTGGCCACAGCACTTCCCCCACTGGAAAGACGGTTGTGGAGGACACCTTTATTCCAGGTCACACTCCATGCCATCAGCCATGTTGAGAAAAGACTATTCAGTAATGGCCTACATCTCCCTCTCTCCTGCCCTGGCCACCTTAACTATACAAGAACCAACCACATGTAAAAATTACCACAGGAGTTCCTGGTGTGCCGTGGCAAGCTGTCTAAAGTGGAGGCCGAAGGAAGAGTGCAAGGGGTATTTTTCCTACAGGTGTAATTATAACCCAGATGTTTAAGCCTTTGCTACGTTCAAGATGGGGGATTGCCGTCTCCAGGGTGGAGGAGCTTGTGCTCTCTGTAATATGGATAGCGTCACCATTCATCCTTTAGAAACACCCATGGAGTGATTTACTAAAAGAGAAATTAACTCTCTCTTTCTTCTGGTGTGTTTATGGGGTTGGAGGTATTGGGGGGGGGGGCAGCCAGAACCATGCCCATGCTAGGCAAGCTCTTCCCAGAGCTACCTGCCCAGCCAAAATGAGCCAGTGTGACCACTGTGATTTGCTTCTGGTGGGCACATAGGACCCCTTTACATATGGGCTGCACAAATAGCCCTCTAAGCAGTGGCAGATCCACAGGGCACTGGCACTGTGCTGAGTGGATGAAGTGTAACAGTCTTCCATGTATAACACCATGCAGATCTCGGTGAAGTTTAAAAAGCTTTCTGAGCTCTACCTTTGAAGACTCACCACAGAGTTCTGAAGAAGTTTCTGGAGTATAATCATTAGATGGAAGCTGAATTCCCCACCAGAGAACAGGCCTTGCAGTGTGGCATTGCTTCCCTAGGCTGGCTACCAGGATTCAAATGGATAAAGCAGACAGCAGTAGCCGAGCACGGATTCAAAGAGAACATGTACGCTGGTTCCAGGCAGGCAGCCCTGCCACAGAAGAACTGAAGAACAAAGACTGTGAGCCGAGAGAAGCAGGGCTTGCAGGGGAGGTAGGCTGTTTGCCTCAAAGAGACAAGTGATCAGATCCATCAGGAGAGGGGCCGGTGTGGAAGAAAGGAAGCCCTGATTACGGCTGTGTCTTGAACTTGAAAGCCTCCAAGGCCAGTTCAGTCTGGGCAGGTGTGGTGGAGCCAGCACTGGGGAGTGAGGAAGGAGGATATGAGTTGAAGCTAGGGGAATGGGAAACATGTTAGAAAATCAAGATTTGGGGCCAAGATGCTGACTCACCAATATAGAAGAGGAAAAAAAAAATGATCAGGGTCGGAGGTCTGAGATTTTTAGGAACAAAACAAAGAACATCGTGAAACTGAGTAAACAGAAGGAGGATTGGCTGTGCAAATGGTCATAGCATTTCTGTGCGTTCAATAAAAGGTTTGGAGTCAAAATCCCAGGCAGGAGACAGAGTGGCCTGAGTTGGAGTCCTCCGACAAGAGGCTAGGTGCATTAACTCTACACCCCGAAGTGTGACGTCTGCACATGGCAAGGGCAGCTGACAGACGACAGAAGCAAATGTTCAACTTCCAGACAGGGAAAAAGAAAATGATTTAAAAAAAAAATACCCAATCTAAAAGGGAAGAAAGGAGAGAAAAATCTAGAACAAGTGGTAAAAGGAACGAACATGAGGCAGATCCTCAGCCCCAACCCCGCGTACGTGTGCGCTCTGCATTCTGTACAGGGGCTGGATATTCAGTTAAAGGATAGAGACCGCAGACTAGGAAACCCAGCTCTGGGCTTTTGAAAACGAAGATGCCTTCGGTAAAAGGATAAAAACGCTTGAGGGGAGAAGATGGAAAGACTCTCCCTACAGAGAGTCGGAGTGACTGCTGGTTAAAGGAAATGTATGTTATTACACTTAAACATTTAATTTAATGTAAGTGTAAACATTTTACTTAAAAGACAAAGATTGACAAGTTGGAGCTAGAGAAAAATGTAGGCCTAGGCACACAGAATGGTGAAAAGGGAGAGGATTTATCAATTCTTATTCTGTAACTCCTAAGTGTGTGCTGTGAACCGTGTTTTCCATTGACTGGACATGCCACCCAAACAGCGTTAAGCGTATGTTAACACAGAGTCGGGTTGCTGACCCGTCCTGTCTGTAACTTGGGCACAGAACTGAACTGCACTCAGCACTAGCTTCTTAAAGTGAAGTGAGCTGCTCCAAGAGCTTCACGCCCCTTAGCTAAAAGTCCAGATTGCTTCTTAAGGCTCACAACACCCCCTCTGTCTCTAAACTCCCCATGTGGATCTCTAATCCTTTGATCCAGCTCCAGCCACTTAATGCTGACTCTTGTGTGCTGAGCACCTGCCCCTGGGGCTACCTGCTATTGCCTGTCCCCTTTGTGTGGCCTGCAGAGCTGTGCTGTCCTTTAGCTCAAGGGTCACGTGACACCCAAGCAGAGGCCTCTTATTACCCTCACCCCAAAGATGACCCATTGCCCCACCTTCAACCTCCCTCATTCACTATTATCTCTCCCTGGCGCCCATCAGCACACCACTTCCTTGTTTCTTTCCGTCTGTTGCTGACTCTAGTTGGGGTGGTGTCCTGCTCACCGCTCCAGCCTAGCCTGGCTGTGTGGGAGGTGATGGAGAAGCGGCCTGGAGGAGAGGAGCCCACACTCTGCCTCTTCCGTTCCCTGCTCCGCACCCGACCCCACCCATCAGTCTTAAAGCTCCGAGGCTTGGTAGCCACACAGATCCCGCAGACCTCAGGAGAGCTGGGGGAAGAGCAGGTGGAGCCAGTCAGGTGACACAGGCTCACAATGGCCCGGAAGTCCTTTGCCAAGAGGCTCCCCGTGTCAGATAGGACCTGGAATCCACCATAGTCAGGATGGAGTACAACAGTACTTAGCCCACCGAGTCTCTACATCGGATGACCCCTGGTCCAGAACAGTGCTGTGGGCTTGGATGGAGTGAGGCTTGGTGTCCATCAAGTCCCCACACTCCCTGAAGACAAGGAAATACTGTATTTCCTTTTACTGATAAGGAAAGTGGGGTCCAGGGAAGCTCACGTTCCTGAAACTCGTAGCACTTTAGAAGAGGTGATTCAGAAAGACTTGGACACAGCGCTGTACAGGTCCAGTGCCAACATCTGCCGGAGGGGAAATATTAACGAAAATTGTTTTTCGTTTACTTTCAAGGGGCAATGGGAACGAGCTAGATCACAACCGGACACTCAAAGAACTTGAAACCCAACTCGCCGACAAGGTAATAGAGATTTTAAAAGATGCTTTCCTCCCCACCCTGTGAGCCCAGGCAGGTGGCCCTTGTGAGGGCTCCTACTCCTGTGAGCTCTGTGAAGGAAGGCATGAGCTCTGGCCCCCGGCCTGCCCCTCGGCGGCTCTCGCAGATGACATCGTCTTTTGTGTTAACTTGGGACACGTGTCAGCAGCTGCCTGTCCTGTTTCTGTGTCAGACTTGAGCGAGTTTCTCGTCAGAACGAGGAGGCAACTGCTCCCGAGCAGTAAATGCCAGTCCTGGGCAGCATGGGGAAAGTAACCAGTCCAGTGCCAACCAAGCAAGAGGCGTTGCCGTGAGGAGTCACTTAGCCCTGGGAGCGACTGTGTGTGTTTCGACGAGATTTTGTGGTTCTGCCACTTGGTTAGGTCTCACCGTGCCTGGGTGGGGGTGGGGATGCCATCCCAGCCTTGGAACTGAGACGTCTTTTTAAAATGCATCAGAGCCTGTCAGTTCTCCATGAACAGTTTGAGAATCGTGGCTTAAATTACTCGATTCAATATGTTGGTTTGAAATTGGACGCATTTTCTTTCTTTTTTGAACTCTTCTGAGACTTCCATACATTTCAAACTCAAAAATAACTCAGAGGGCCACAAAATGTTTGCTTCCAGTTCCCCGGCTTGTCCCATCTACACCGGAAGAATCATGCAACTGATCATTTCAGAGCATTGCGGGTCCCCACACCTGAGTCACATGGTTGGTATGAGTTGGAGCTCTGGTCCTGACTGTGGTGTAGCCCATGGATTATTCTGTAGAAACACTCTGTGCTAGGGGAAATTGTTTTGGCCGTGTCTTTTATTTGTCTCTGCATAAGATATATTCATCACAGAACACTCCTGGGAAAGCCGGCCGTTTGGGATGGTCCTCCCCATCCCGGCAGCCTAAGTATCATCATGGATGGATAGGGGGTATTACAGAGTTCACAGGGAGTGGACATGGGTGGGTATTGTCAATATCAAGAGCTAAGCCCTTCCCATCCTGTGCTCACATCTGAAAGGGGGCATCCCTGCTCTCCAACCTTTGATTTAAGGCCCCTTTTTCAGCCTAGCTTCCTCCCCGTGGAAGCTGCCCGTGAGTGAGTCTAAGCCACGGTCGGTTCATGTGAGGATGGGGCCATGAAAGGCTGGGCGGCACACTCCATTGCAGGAGGCACTGGGTCTGCTGGGCCAGCTTTTTTCACCAGTATAAGCCGAAGCCCCAGTTCTATCTACAACCCTGACTACGCCAACCAAAACTGGCCTCAGACCCCACCATTGCCTGATGCCCCTCTTAGGGGGCCGCCATCTTCCAGCCGGGTGGCCTCAGGCAAAGTCCTTGGTACTGAGTTTATTCATGTGTCAGGTCAGACAACGGTGCCCACCAGGAAGGGTGTGTGTGTGATTAAAAACATCCAAGAGGAAGCCAGGCAGCTTGGAGTCGGGACTAGCTGCTAGCTACAGCTTCTTTCTGAGGGCAGGTAGAGCCCCAGAAAAACCACATAAAAACATCTCTTCCACTGTGTACCCCACACAGGGCCACCCCACTGAGCAGACCCACGCTGCCCACCCCTCGGTCCTTTTGGGGTTCCCTGGATCCTGGTCGTGGTTACATGATGATGCTAGAGGCTAAGAAGGTGGCCGAGGGGTTAGCGAAGTTAGACGTTTTCTGTGCCTCCCTTCCAGGGCTGGGAGAGAGTTAGTTTGGAACGAAAGAAAGCACATTCATTGTTGGTTTTAACTACAGGTACACATGGCTTATTAGAGCCAAGAACACATGCACATGCCTCTGAATTTGGAGGTTAGATTTACTCATGTGCATATGAATTAGCCTTCTGAAAGTAGCACACGATAGCTGGGCAGACTAGCTGGACCCCAGGACTGGCGTTCCCTCATTTTTCCATGGTGAAGGTGGTCTGACAGCTGGTTTATCAGCCTCTGCCTTCTGACTCAGACTTTCCAAGGTGTGTTCGTGGTCACCCTCATTATCCCGTGAACCCCTGGGCATTGGAGCCTTCCCTTCACCTGTCAGCCAGAGCAGAGACTGGGCTGGATGATTCCCAGGACCTGTCTCAATTCAGTGACTTTGCTGTGTGGCTTTGGGTGGAGAGGTGCCCCTTCCACAGGACCCACCTTCATTAGTCAAGGGCATTCTCAGGGCAGCCTCAGAAGATCCTACCTAGTCTTGGCTCAAGTTCAGTCAACACGAAGGTCCAGTCAACTCACCCTGAGTCCTGTCTGAACCTCACACACTATCTTAGCCCTGCCTTCATTGTGGTCACAAAGAAACCCTTTGGGTGTGTGTTCCTGGGCCTCTACTGGATCTCTCTGGCGTTCAGTTTCCCTGTACTTGAAAACTAGGCACAGTAGGTCCTAGAGAGTTAAAAGCACCCTGGTTGTTTTCTGGGGAGGTGGGCCTTGCCCAGGGTTTCCATTGCTCTGGTGTCCTGTATCCATGGTAAGATTCACCATGGCACTGTACCTACAAGAGGAGTAATGTCAGTGGAGACCCTGCCTAAGGTAGCTAGCTGCTGAACTGATGCGTGTTCCCTGTCTCTGATGAAGAGAGAGGCTGGTTCTCCATGCCAAACCCTTAACCTGACACTAGGTGGCACTTTCTTGGCCACACAGATAAGTATTGTTCTTCCAGGTGAAGGCCAGGAGCTCTGCTTTAGCCGGGGGGGGGGGGGGGGGGGGGAAGAGCATGGAAGAGAGAGGAGGGACAAAGGGAGGGGAGGAGAGGGAACTGAGTCAAGACTGGCCAGCCTCCCCTCTCTGGCCTCTTGAGCTTCCCCTCTTCAGGTGTGACACCAGATACTTCAGAGCCATTTCCCCCCGTTCTTCCAAGGAGTTGCCCTAAAGCAAGGTGTGCAGGTGAGTTTTAAACTGCATCTTGCCGCAACCTAGAATCACGTGGGAAGAGAGTCTTAAGAATTACCTAGACTAGCTTGGCCTGCGGACATGTCTGTCAGGGGTGGTCTTGAGTGTTCATTGAGGTGGAAAGACCCACCCAGAATGTAGGCTGTTCCATGGGTTGGGTCCCCAACTGGGTAAGAGTGAAGAAAGGAAGCCGAGCATGAGCAGCAAGCAAGGATGTGTCTAGTCTCTGCTCTTGACTGTGGATGTGATATGACCAGCTTCTTGAGTTCCTGCCTTGACTTCCCTGACTGTGATCTGGGATGGTGAGCTAACAGACTCTTCTTCTTTTTCCTTTGTTTTTTTCTTTTTCCTTCCTTCCTTCCTTCCTTCCTTCCTTCCTTCCTTCCTTCCTTCCTTTTTTTTGAGACAGGGTTTCTTTGTGTAGCTTTGCACTTTTCACTCTGTGGCTGGCCTTGAACTCACAGATATCTGCCTGCCTCTGCCTCCCAAGTGCTGGGATTAAAGGCGTGCAACACCACCACCACCTGGCTGAGACTCTTCTCAAGTGGCTTTTGGTCAGGGCATTTTATCACAGCAACAGAAAAGACATTAGGACATACAGGGAAACTTCTTCCCATCCCTCACAGCTGTGGCCTGAGAAGGAACAGGTCCCTGCCAGCAGCCTGAACCAGCTCTGTGTGCCCTCTCATGTGGTGGCCGGGTTCTCTCCTGTGAATCAGGTAGCTACCCAGGAAAACCTCAGCCAAAGAGTAAAGGGCAGGCTTGCTGGGAAGGAGGAGAAAGGGGATGGATTGGGGTCTGACTGTTGGTTTTCTTCTGGACACTAATCAGTGTGTGACTTTTGCCCGCTCTAGTCACATTGGCAGTGTGCTGAGTGCTCACTAGGATTCTTCTAGGAGCTTCATTGTATTGAACCTGTTGCCAGAGATTCTCACAGGGCAGGACCACTCTCATCCCATACTAATATGGGGGAAACTGAGGAAGGGGTGAGTAGCCTGGCCGTGGGTACAAAGCTGTGGGTAGAGAAGCCCCAGCTCCAGCCTCCTTGTTATCACCCTGAGCTACTCTGCTTTCTGGATCTCTCAGGAAAGGTGCTGTGGCTGATTTTTACATTCAACAAACACACACTTAGTCATGCCCATAGTTAGGGTCACTCTCCATCTGAGAGTAGCCCTCAGTTGCTTCTACTAGAGTCGTAAACAAGGCTGTTCTGACCACAAGGTCACTGTCTGTCTGTGGAGCAGCCACTTTCCCTGGCACCCGGCCTGTTCGATCTCCCTCCCACCCTTGTAGCCTATGCCCAGCCCTTGTCTACCTTGCGGGTCCCAGCTCCATCTTAGGGTGCTGGATAAGTCCAAGACCTCAGACTTAGCCAGTTCACAAAGTTTCTGAAGTCAGGACTCCAGCCGGATAAAAAGGGATCAAAGTGAAATGTCAGTGCCTGGTCCGGCCAGTGCATCAGTCTTTGCCCTGCTTTGCGTTTGTGGACTCCCACATAAGGTGCAGTAGGAACCGAAGAGGCTGAGAAAGGAGGAACACCTCACCCTCTGTTGGGTGGGGAGCACTGAGAGCCACGTAAAAGGATGGTTGAGAAGTCCCAAGTGGTTCCACCTTGCACAAGAGTGCGGGCACACAGTGAGCACGGCCAGGAGCCCCGGCCCTTCTCAACCTGCCACACACAGTGCTGAACCAGAGACTGGAATTCAAGCATATGTCATTCAGTTAAGGAGGCATAAAAGGAGAAACCACCAAAGACCCAGGCTGTTGAGTTTCTCCAAGTTAAAGAAACTCTCAGAAGAAGAGAGGGCTCCAGGGCATGGGCACTTGTGGTGCCGGAACATCTGGTCGACCCAGTCAGCTGTGACTAGCATGTCTGTTGGACACTGAGTGATCCCACACAGCATTGATGGGATTACCCTGGTGCCTGAGAGTTGTAGCATGCAGCCTGCATCATTTCAGAAGTAATTGGTGAATCATTCAAGTGAACTGCCTGCTTGCTTTGTGCTGCCTCAGTGGAGAAGACACAAGCGTGAGGGGTAGGCTGTCTTTCCTAGACAGGTGAGCTTTATTTTAAAGAAGCATTTACAAAGTTATATTTAGGATTGGCGAGATAGC